TAATAGTCCACTTTATTACTCATAAAACAAACATTTTCACAATTCAGCACTTTATCCTAAGAAATAGGTCATTTTTTAGGATATTCTTGGTTTATTAATTATATGCATAGGCGTCAGTGATAGTGGACCGATAAAACTATGATTTTATTCTTACCTTTTCACGAACAGAACCTCTACAACAGACACAACAGAATAAATAAACGCCACATTTATTTCTCAACGTGACACACAATATACCTACTCCGAGAATTACATTTTTAATAAAAAAAAATGTTTGTATTACAAAATACGCATGACTTCATAGAAACTAGTCCTCGTATGATGAGGTTTATTACTTTATCTCGTTGATCTCGCACAAGCAAACATAATAAAATGCGATAGGCCGTAGCTACGCCGTAGGCAATCGCCGACATTCATTGTTGGCATTTAGTATTAATTTGTTAAACAACGTGTTGCAATGTAATTCATAACCTTTATAAGGCGTTACACACTTGCCATTTATAAAAAACGACATAGTTTCAATTCATCAATAATATGTGACGTCATTATTGTCAAATTGTGTGCACGAAAAAATAACTGGTTTTATTCATTTTTAACTTGTTTTATAAAGTAACTATTGCGATAAAATTGTAATACAATTTACAACTACAAAAAATACAAATGACTTTGTAAAACAGAAGTTATGGAAAAAGTAAATAACGTAATTCACCACAGTAATAAAGGCAAACTAAACAAACAGTTTCAACTTCAGTGCAAAAGTTATAGAGGGGTTCTGTTTAATTGTGCGTCTCTGTTGGTTGCCGCGGCGGCGCACGGCGCGGCGTCTGACTGCCTGATTCAGAACATTATACTCTCTAACTACTTACTATTCAGCTCTTGTTACGCCTTTCGTATATTATTGTCAAACATAAAAGGACATTCAATACTTGTTAGTACTAAAAGGTATAAAAATAATTCGTTCCGCATAAACGCAAAAAGTACTAAAACTGCGCAACTTAACTAAACTAAACTGCTTAAATTGTAAGAAAACTATATAGAAAATGTAAAAATCACGATAAGAAAAGGCAAGCATAAATTGGACATATGTCATTCGTTGTTTCTATTTCGGCTTTAGATAAAACAGTTACATCAATGGGATCACGTTGGGGATACATTACGTAAGCATCCGTCGCTCGGTATAAACTTTACGGAGTTTTTTTATCGGCACAATTTAACGCCGCAGTCAGTAAATATCGAGCGGAGCTGCTGAAATAGGACGCCTGTGGTTTAGTGCCTCGTAAATCTGTCTCTACGGGACGCACGCACCTCGCGTTACCTCAAAAATTGTCTAATACAGATCTTAGATCTTAGGAAAGTGAATAGAGACCCTTCTTACCTTATTCGTGTCTTTATTAAGACACCGGCGAACTGAGAATATTTGACAAAATTACGGTAACGGTTGCCAAATTAAGTGGCTTCTTAATTTATAAGATATATTTAATTACTAGAATTTGAAAAACAAAATCAGAAAGAATTTTATCCGTGACTGCTTTTCATTTAGTGCCACAAAGACTGATAAGATGTCATGTTTCAATTAGTTTCCATGAAAGCCAGATACACGCTCCAAAGTTTCGAACTTTGTTTCAGATGTTTGAAAGATAACTTGAGTAATGAGATCTTTATTAATTTAAAACTACATTTTCGTGTTATTATTAAACCACATTATCTTAGAAATAGAACTAAATAATAACGATGTTCCAACCATACAAAATACATTGGAACAGTTAGCTTTTTCCAATATTTATTTTTCTTATCATGCATATCAAATCCGCAACGTTGGTTTACTCATAGACATCCTTGGAGTCTGTCCATCTCTGCAGGTATAAGTACTCACTTAAAGTATTTTATGCTCTTAGCTATTTCATCACATATGACTTTTGATAAAGGTCATTTGGACCGTAACTGTCGGTGTCATGATTTTTTCTAAACATTTTTCTCATTTCCAATATCTTACAGATATATAATCATTTATGACGATTGTATTTCAACGTGAATGTAAAACGTATAATTTGTTAGTCTGACTCAGTTACCATTCCGACTGCTCAGTTTAACAATTCGCACGTAAATTTGAATATATTTACAACAAACTCTATTTTTGTTAGCGTTGCGTTTTCGAACGTTCATCTGTTGCGGTTATGAGCCGTAGCGAAGGCGTAACCTCGCTGTTCGCAACCAGAGATAAATACTGCGCTACGCAAATGATGCGGTATTCATATTAGCTGCTCGAATACGAAAGAAATGCAGGCGTAAAATTACAGACCATTGCTTGAAGAGATGAGCATCGCTTGTTAATCCAATTTAGATCGTAAACGCTTTATGTTTTATATTGTCTTTGTTAATTGCGTATTAGGATTGTTGCCGAGCAAAAATAATTAAAAATTTTGTAATCGTTTTATCAAAAGTATTACGATGATATCTGATCCATTTACGTAGCTGTAAATTAGAAGTAATCTTTTTCTTGTTATAATTATTTAGGTACAGTATGTTTGGTATTTAGTTAGAAAACAAGTGACCTTTTGTAATGAGAATGCATAAAGGTTTTGCAGATCATAAAATATTTATAGACACAACCCGCAAGAATGAAAGGTCTTTAAAATGTTGCGAACCTAAATCACGAACGAGGTAAACACTTTCTTACTTTTAAAGAAACTACGAATCTTTGGGGTTCCATGGTGTTTTAATATTACAATCTAATAAAATTCTAACAAATAATATGTTTAAAACGTAATCGGCAATTAAATTCTGTAATTTACATCAAGGCTACATCTGCATTACATACATACTTGTACATTTTTATATTACTGAAAATATTTCTATTCGTATGTTTAAACAAATCCATTACTTAAAGGAAAAATACAAAACACCATAAACAAAACGTAATCAATCTTTAAGGGAATTCTCGGCATTTACTTCGACGTAAAATAACAGACGTGGCGCGAGTATTTGAGGCTATCCTTGTGCTTATAAGAATCCAATAAATCTACACATACCTCATACATATCTCCGCGTCTTTATTGACACAAACAGGGTGGAATGGGATGGCTCTTAACAAAAGATGAGCGATTGTTACGAATATTACAAAGTTATTTTGCAAACATTTTGATTTTCTCTGCGTATCTTATTTATCATCTTTTTGTATGAATTTTGACAAATATCCCGCGTTTTTCTTATAACATTTTAGGTGAATGTTGTGTTTTTCCACCGTAAAGCATTTCCGACTTCAATGTAACGTTTTAGAAATGAAAAAGAAAAATAAACTTTTACAGACGTCACAGGATTTTAGTAAAAAGTACACTGTGTTCTCAAAGACAATAACACACGCTTCCTTTTATTATGAAAATGAAAGAAAACGACACATTTTAAGTTCATTCGTTGGAATATTCTTTAACAATATTCTCAAACCCATTTCTTCTAAAATCCAAAGCAAACATTAAACTTTTTAATGTTTCACTCTCAGAAAATTACAACTTTCAAAGAAGATGACAAGAGTATTCAAATACAATAACAATTTAAGCAAAGTTACTGGAGACTAGCAAAGTTTCCTCTTGTTCAAGTCCTCGAGAAACTTAGATAATACGCTTGAATAACCAGACGGGGTCCATAAATTCAACAGGTATTTTGTACAACTAAAAATAAAATTTTGCCCATGTGTTATGACAAGCGACTAGTACTTCGGATGTAAATTTCATAATATTACACTCTCCCAGAGATATTCATAGTCTATAAAACGTTTTAATGTCCAAAACTACGAGTTGTAGATTATACTCTTCTAACAATTACTAATTTACTTGATATACAGAATAATCTATTATTTATACAGATATGAATAAAATAACGATAGAAACCCTTAATTCGTACATACTTTGTAATAAAACAAGGAATGTATTTCATGTACTTCATTCTTACTTACTGATGACATGTATATGTGTGTTCAAATCAATCACCATCCATCAGCGTCAATAAATCATCGGCTTGTATGACACGAATGTATCGAACACATTCGTCAATACGTTTGGACAATGTCGTATTAAATACCAACAGAAAAAAAACATACACAAACAGCAAGTATGTAACTGTAACAATTGGAATAAATGATTCCAACTGCCTTGTACCACATCATTAGGAAAACTATAAATAGAATCTTTCACTCTAAAAAGATGGCAAATAGCAAGAATAACAAGTAATATTTCCTGTATAAACACTATTTTGTTAAAAAAAAATTGAAATAAAAAAATTTTAAACAGTTACATTTACATCAGAGCATTGTTTGTTACTAATGTAAGTTGAATAACGCATTATGTGTTAACGCAATAATTTCTCATTTAACTATGCTTGTTTGCATAATTATATCATCATTACGATCTATTAAGCCGCCGTGTGCTTCTGTCGACACGTAAATGTGTTACGAAAATTATAATAGCCTCATTAGGATTACGCCCCTGCACATATTTGACAATGTTAATTAATAAAAAACAGGTTAATTTCACTCTTAAATTTGCAATTACTGCTGCTAGCTTTAACATTTGTCTGTAAATAATTAATGTTATTTCTCGATTAACAGAATTTATAACACGATCCACAGTCGCTACTCAATCAGCTTAGCAACTTGAGTGCGAATAGCAAACAACATTAATGTGTGCAAATACACTAGATACATCGTATATGGAAATATTTTCCACAGATTGCAAGAATTAAAATGAGCATAATGAGCTAACAGTGATTAAAGCGATGGACGATCATATCAGTTATTGTCGGATTTGTGCAATAATCTTGATGCAAACATCACAGTTATTACGAGTACGTATTTGCGTCATATTTGTATATAGAAAGTTCATATGTTTCCATAGTTTCGTCAAGGATTATCTTAAAAAAAATAATGTTAGGATTTATTTTATAAAATCAACATATTGAAAATTGTTGGATGGTCCATTGAGATAGGTAGAAAATGGACTTACCGAACATTAGCGAGCGTGTGTCGTCTGCTCTTGAGGTAGCGGCCGTGGTACTTTTGCAGCTCGCCGATGCTGCCCTGCTCGGCCTGCATCCTGCCGTGCGAGCTGTGGGAGCCAAGCGAGCTGTGCGCGCCCTGAGACTGCGACTCCTCACCCTGCCCCGCTGCCCCGGCTCCGCCGGCGCCACGCTTGCGGGCCTTGTTCGACTTCCTAGCCGCGGCCGATACGCATATCTTTACCGAAGATGGACTCCCAAAACTACGCTTCTTCCCGGAACTCCTCGATGAAGTAAAAGCTGTGTCAGTACTGCTTTTCGTACTTCTATATGAAGGAGTAAGGGTCGCGTCTGTGGCGTCCTCTAGTGGCCAATCGGAATCGTCTTCCTCTTCTATTCCGGGTAAAGGGGACTGTTGGCCTATAGGGCGCGGTGAACTTAGTATGGGCTCAGGTATAACTGGAAAAAAAATTACAATATTACCGCTTTGATAACTTGTAATAGCTGTTTTATTCAGTCAATAACTTAGCTTTTTATTAAGTAGAATACTGATATGCTAATAGTGGATTTGCATTGACTGAAAAGTTGTCTCAATAGCTAAATTTAGCAATAAATTGATTGAAGAAATGAAAATGAATAACGGTAAAAAAATAACATTATAAGTAAAACGAAATTAATTCAAGAGTTACGACATAAATTTGAATAATTTCCTTCAAATTATTTAATGGAAAAATTACGTATTCAATACTGGATGCTTTGATCGCGGCGGGAATATCGTCTTGAGGTTATTATCGTTGCTGCGATATCGCTTCTTGTACCTATTTTTCAAACTTCCATAACAAGTAGGCAGCTAAATTGATCTTTGCACAGTATTTTTACTTTTTTTAAATTCGTTATAAGCAAAAAATCTATATTTACTATTAGTTATAAACATATTTTTTACCGATTCACATAAATTTTAACGTTCCTACAATTGGTTTATTTCACATTTTAGTTTTTGAAATAAACTGTTAGAATAATAAAGACGAAACCGATAGTCAGCAAACAAACAAGATCGTTATAGAGGGTCGTATATACGTTAAGAGCTAGCAACAGTCCGCTGTGAATTAATCAACTGCGAAATTGGAGAGCGCGCCGTGGCAACGCGACGCCGACGCCACCGCTCCAAGTGTCTATTTAATTATTTACGCTTAGATATTTTCCACCAAACTGTCAACTATTGTAACATACGTTAAAGCAACTGAGACGCACATCACCTAAATGCTAATTCTTATTCTGTTAAGCATAGAATTTTAAGACGCAAAGTAGACACTATTCTGTATAGCTTTTTGTTTAACCTTGACTATTTTTATCCACTACAGGTCTTTTTAGATTATCATTTTTAGTAATCTAGAGAATATTGTATTTATGTTAGTCAATGGAATGTTATGGAGGTTACGTATGAAAATCCTTACAGTACTTACATTATAAATTGATGAATAGCATAAGCATTTTCCACTTCCTGAGACGTAAAAACGAAAACTTCTTGAAAAATTAGGTCGATCGTTGTATGGAAGCGACGGACTACGGGCTGAATATTTTTAAATATAAAATCGATGCAAACTCCATTGTTGCAAAACAGCTTCGACCCATATCGAAGTGAATTACATACAAATTTCATTAGTGAACTAAATAAACAGGAAATATTTTACTCAATACAGAATTTAAATCTAATTAGCAACTGACAATAAACACACTATGAAATACCGAATGGATAATAACAAATTTTATTTCGTGATCCTAACTTAACTTTATGTCTTACATTTCTAAGTACCCGGGCTACATTGTTGATATACATTCATGTTCCTGTAAAATTATCTCTATTAAAGTAACAAATATAACACGATTTCTTCATTCATCTTGGGAATTTTAAAAAATAACTGACTCAATTCAAGTAAGTATATTTTATTTCAAACTAGGTCTCGCCCGTGACTCCGTCCGCGTGATATTAAAAAATAACAAAAGAGAGCCTATGTGTTGGAAGAACACGTGGGCTCTCTTTTGTTATTTTATACCTATCCACTATATACGAGTATATACCGAATTTCATCGAAATCCGTTTAGCCGTTTAGGCTACAAACGCTAAGAAACATCTATCCATATATCCATCCATCCATCTAAACATTCGCATTTATAATATTAGTATGAAGTATGATTAATATGATAGTATGATAATCTGTTCTCTATTCAAATTTTGACTCACTGCTGCATGGCCTTTTAATGGTTAAACAAGGACTATTCTATGGGTTTACTAAATGTACACTCACGGTTGTCTTAATGTTCAGTGCAGTGTCACAGACTTAAAAGAGAAATGAAAGGAAAGTTCCTAGGTAATAAAAATTGTTTGTCCGCCATGTTTTATTAAAGACTTTCTTGCAGTACAAGCTTGTGGGCACTTAAGTTGTGGTTGTATCCATTATCTAACGTACACCTGGTGTTTCATAAAACTGCAGCTCTTAAGACAGTTGCCTTGTTGTTCTATAACTCGTAAATAGAATTTATTATCCATTACACATTCAAGTTTTAATCAATAACACTGGATCTAGCTGTAACCAGCCTTGAACACAAATAGGCTAAAGGGATTCCGGTCAAGGCGAGAATTAAATTTAAATACACGAAAATGTTATAATATTTTGGAATTATTGCAGTCAACACAAAAAAACAACACTAATTATCTTTTTTTCTGAAGCATTTCAAAGTAAAGTTGTATTAAAAAAATGTTTTCTTATAAAATTTCATAGTCTATATAATATTTTTGAAGCATTAAAAGCAACTTTTATAACCTATTATTTTCCTACCTGTCTTTTCTGTTTCTTAGAACAATATAGAATGTTTTGATTGATTAAGTCCCTTTGTTCCCTCAAATCCCGTGACGTCCTCGCTTTATAAATCCTATGGGTCTTTAGAGCTCACAAGATAAATTGGCTCAAGAGTATTCCTTTTCTATAATCTTTTACTCAATACTTATAACCGTTAATATGTTTTTTTAGGAACAGTTTTTTAAATAGCTAATAAGATAGTGTCTTTTTCGCAGTATTTCCTACCTTTTGCCACAATAGGCTTTCGTCTTTAAAATCGATCTGTCATCCGACATTTCAGTCCAGTCCAGATAATCTTTCTTTTCTTTACATTTCATTTATATTTCGTATTCTAAAAGACATCATTTGAATGATTTAATTAAGCGTAATAGAAATGTAAGTTTATTCATTCAGTAATAATAAATCAAAACAAAAAGCTTTGACAGTACTTTACGAAATGAAATAACGAATAATTTGATAAGAGAAAAGCTTTCAAATTAACTTCGCTATCGTCCTTTTGATATTTTAGTGTTGTCCTTTATTGAAATATTTTTATAAAATAAATCACTGTGTTCTTAATAACACAATTTTCTTAAATTTTAACTTCTATACAACTTTAATATATAACCAACGATTTTTATTTAAAAATAATAGAGACATAAACAATGTAGTTACTGTAAAGACTTTACGGAACTTTAACAATTTAATTTTAGTTTGATTTCCTTCGCAAAACACGAGTTATATTGTTCCAGTTACTACGAATGTTTTATAACAATGAGCACTTTAAATCTGCTTGAGATGCTTTCTTTGTCCAATGCGAATTTTTGAAATGATATTTCATTCCGTCTTTGTGTTAGGAAGGTATCCATTTTATTGATATTTTGTAATCTGAACTCGACCCAAAATCTCACACACTTGGCCCACTGCCAATGTGTAATGCAGACGCACGATGATATCTGCCCGAATCTTGTAATTGATATTATGAAAGGAGATGAAAGCTTATGTCTGTACGTCTTTTATAAAGTTACACAAGATCGACATTTTTATTGGTTTTACAACGATGCTAAAATATGTTACATGTTACTACGACATAAAATTATTGTTAATTTCTAACTGATGGTTTTTTATTAAGATTAGACCTTATTATTTATTTTATTTATATACTATTATATTTTTTAGTTATTACTATCTACTCTTCTTCGCAAAGCCAATATCACTCATCCCAAATCGAAAAATTTATAATTGTATTTTTTAAAAATATGACAAAATAAGCATCTGACTTTTTGCAAAAATCATAACTTTCATATCAGACAGATTAAATTATCAAAGAGACGGCGGAGAACTTTTCCGTAATCAAATTAATCTTCATTCCATTTGAAGAATATCGTTTTTAACATAGATGAAAGATTATTTCGGATGATTTCTTAAATAACAACAGTAGATACTTCGACGATTAAACAACTTACAAACCTTTTGCGAAAATAGGCTTGACTGATAAATTAATAAATAACAAATATAGTTTAATACAAGATTGATGATTTTTATATCATGACTTTCAATTGACGATCAGATAATGCTTTCAAAAGTTTTTAATAATCATCTGAACTTAGTAATAGAGTATAACAAGAGATTATATTTTAATACGAAAATAAGATATCGTTGCATGGATCAATAACTTGGTAGCACATGCAACGTGTAACTAGAACTTTGGATCTATACAATTGCATGTTGTTAAAACATTTAGTTTTCAATTTTCTCTAATGTAACGTAAGACCTTCATTCGCTTCATACCTTGCACTGACTCTCTGTTAATTATTGCAGTACAATAAATATCATAGAGATATGAGAAGGCTCAACGGTGAGTGTGTCAGTAGTTAATAGATAAGGTAATCTGTTGGCACACACTCGCGTACGTAAACAAGCATCCTGAAAGGAATCCTTAGATAACTATCACGTACTATAATCCTCTTTGTGTGAATAATTCAATCTATCAAATAGCAACGTATACGAAAATCCTGCTGCTGCAAACTACAAACAAACCGAAAAAAGATATCAAAACCTTTGCAACTTTAATTCAGACAAAACGTAAAATACAAAAGTCTACTCTGCTCTGACCCAATAATGCAGCTGTTCTTCATTACTAGAATGAAATACAAATAAAGGGTCATTTAGTAGGTTTTTGCACGTCGCTTTGACCGATTAAAGTTATTAATAAAAAAAGTAGTTTCGTTCTAACAGTTCGTATACATTTGCATTTTACTAATCTCTAAATAAATTTACAATCGAAACAGAGCGATTTTCAAAATTATTAGTATATTTCTTTGGTTTGCACCAGTTGCAAACTAATGAAACTCAAAGTTCACTGTGACTTATGTTTGTTGTGTTTCTCTTTGGAATTTGTTTTAAGAGTCGTTCGCGAAAGCCTGGAGCTAACTCGACCACGGACTGCAAGTTTGTTACAAAGTTTTCATGAAATAAATGTTTAAACAATATCAACAAGTTGGGATAGATGGAATAGATGTTTGCTACCGCGTAACATCAGAATGATATGGATTTTCATAAAATTTAGAAAAACCCTTTTACAACCGGAAATAGGACATAGGTTTTTAACTCAGTTTTTTTTAATTCCATAAGAACGAATTCGGAACCGATACCTTGTTTTTACAAAAATAGGTATGTTATTCCTGCAAAATAAACACAACAAGATAAGTACGATAAATAAAAAAGGAGTTTTACATATTAAATTATAATGTCAAATATTAAGAATAAAAATTTTTAAAATTCACTGCATTCGTGCATTGAAGGAATCTCGTGATTTGTAAATAACTTTAAAATAGTCTGCGGTACTTCAGTCGCGGCGTCAGACATCGATCGGTCGCGCTCTCCGCTATCTCTACCACACACATGAAACTTCCACCGTTTTTTTAATTACAAATAATATTTTAATACCGGATGTTATAAATATTTCTTCTTCTGGTAGTTCATTTGTACCTAACCTAAATATAAAAATACTATTTTAAAACTTATGTCAAATATTCCATAAAAATTGCCGCAAGTTAAACAAGGTTTATTATAAAAGGACTTGTGTTTAAGATAATACTAGACGTATCCAGTTTATAAGATTTATATGTATTATACGAAAGAAGAAATACATAGAATTTATATATACTGAAGAAAAAATACACAAAATTAACATGAATTTACATAACACGTCATAGTACATTTTCTATTACATACGTCGAGATAAGTATTGAAATGCAGCAACAATAACCTTCAGGCGACTGCCGGCAATATCCGGCAGAGCGCTTTCCTCCGTCCGCGTCGCGTCGCATCGCATCGATTATCATAAATAAACTTTATTTATTGTAAAACTATTTTGTTATTTTTATGGATTACAGCAAAAACTTAATCAATTTCTTTCTAGTCCTTGTTGTGTTTACCTACAAATACTCTTTAGCTATAATTGCGAATAATAATAAGTTATTCAAGAAACGTATGAAAGCTTGATTTGTATGCAATTAAAGTAATACCGTCGATTTCATATAGATAACTCTGTGTGTTAATTGCAAATTTACAGCAACCCTGCATCAATTACGAATTAAAATTGAGTGTACGTTAATTAACTTTTTATAAGCAGTAACGTTAAAAATAAAGTAGCTGTATATTCTGCCAAAATACATAATACAATTAAAACAAAATAGAAAAAAAATAGCTTTCTTCTTTTTTTCGTCAGTTTGAATTAAAGAAAAAACGAAAGTAAGTTTCAATTGCGGTCAATAAACGTAAAGATTTTTTAATCGACATTTTCGATGAAAAGTCATTTGTGACCAATTGTGAACTTAATACACCTAGAGTAATATTTTAAGTTCAAGTAATTTGAAAGACTGTGCTCAAGTCATCTATGCGTGCTTCGTCTCATTTAAATTTCGTAGCGTGACTAAATAGTGATTAAATTGAATTGTATTAATTTGTCGAGAGGTCATTAATTATTTTTAGTTATTTAGAAAGAAATCGAAGTAATAAATGAATAAGGAAATGTGTGAAGAGAAACCAAAAATTACATAAACTATTGACTAATGTAACATTGATTTTTATACCAATTTGTCAAATTAAACTAACAGTTTAAAGTAAAATGAACCGTGAATTCATTAACTACTTAGATATAATGGTCCAAATACATAACTTATTTTAATAATAATAAAAAATAATCCTTTATTATGCTCCTTCAAAAGACTTCGATAAAAATATTAAAGTAGGTAAATTCTAATTTCTATTACAAGCTAAAAGGTCTTTGTTAAAAATCTAAGCAGAATAATAATGACTTATAAATTATGAAGATGGCGAGAATTTTTCAAAGAGAAACGATTTAAAAAAAAGCGAATTATTTTAAAATTGTTTGTTCAATGTAAAATAGTAGACGTAATTATCTTTTTTTATTACTTGTTAATCTAATCTAAGCGTGACCACAAATTCATTGTGAAAAACATTTTATACATGTAAACAGAGGGAAACGTGGTGTTGTGGTAACGTTCGTTTAAAACTGCGTACGCCAGCATGCGATAATATACGCTAGCATTTGTGACTCAGCATAATAAAGAGCTACACCAAAGCCGTGACCACACTTAATGGTCGTTAAGGCCGTATGTGCTTAGAGACAATTTAAATGCAATCCACTATTAGCATTTAAACGACTAGTTGACGAACAAATTATACTACTAATGAATCAACTACAAACATAATCGTTACTATGTCAAATGTTATCATATCCAGATGAGATTCGACTAGAACTCATAAAATCTAATATTAGTTTTCTCATATGAGACATCAAAATGAACTTCGCTAGATATCATTCGTTCAATCTTGCTTTTGATTATACTGTAACGATATCCAGTTGAAGAATTGGTATCTACGATGATAATGTCTGCATTGTATTTACGTTACGCTCGCTGTGACTTGAATGCTCAATTAGTCGTCTAAGAGCAATATGCAATATTCATTATGTCAGCAATACCTACGTCCATTAAAGTTTTAAATAGAGTTTATTATCTTGGAATACATACGTACGCATTACAAAATACTTACACTATAAATAAGGTAAAAGATAGAACTTACTGTATTCTTCTTGGGATAGTTGCGGGCTGCCCTCTCTCAAGGCATAGTCGGCTTCGTCGACGGGCGCCGCCGCGCGCGCCCCGCACCAGGGCACGCAGCAACGGAAGACCCCGCCTCCGACCACTTTGGAGCCGTCACAGCGCTACAATCCAAAGCGCACGCCGTCTCCTTAACACTAACCAACACGCACAACCTCTCCGCAGGTACAATCGCGCACATTAGCAATGTTCACACCACTCAGATATCACTTTTCCCGGCGAGAGTACACGACGAAGAAATCTAAATAACTTTTGGCACTTAAAGGTATAACAAGCAGAGAGTAACAAGTATAAAGTTCTACTTCAGTCTTGGAAGTTAGCGAAGTATTGATATGTCAGTCTGATGTAAGATCTTCAGATTGATTCTGAAAATTTACGGAGTTTTCGTTCAAATTGCTAACGGAGATGGTAAAATATAAGCAGCTTTGTATTACAACCGTATTTTGCTTTTAATTTTGTTGTTAGATTAACACACGGCTAAGTTATACCACCGAATTACCGTAAAACAATTTATATCTAATTAATTAATTGGAGTGCATGAGAGATATTTCAATCAACTAGCTAATATCAAACGATCAGCAATGCAAAGTGGTTACAGTCAAGTATTTACCGGCCGAGGCAACTGGCATTCCAAATGCCAGGTTCGATTGAATATTATGAAATGTATTGAAAGACAATAAGCCTCAAATATTTTGAACTAAGATAATATTGTATTCATAGAAAATTCTTCGACTTCTTTTCAAGAGATTTTCTAAAACAATATGAATCGTTTTATGAAAGCAACATGATAGATTGAGAGTGGCTAAATAAACGAAGATGCATTGAAGGCGCGTGTCATCGGCTGTCTAGAACGAAACGCATCGCGAGACCTGTTAATAAAATGATTCGTGAGAAAATGTTGGCGATCCGCCAATTAGAGCCACAGTCGTTTATCATTGATTTATTAATTTCGAAGCGGCACACGCCAACCATTGACATTGCATTTGAATATAGCGTGAGATTAATGAAGATAAAAGAAATGTGGATACATTTTACACAGAATCATTCAACAAACGTCAACATTCTGTACGGATTACGGTTAACAAAGGAATGTTTTTACTGCGATCGTTTTGTAGTTTATCGTAAGTTTCCACGGCTGAAAAACTAAAATAAAATTGTCGATTTTTTCAAAAACATGTACAGATTTTTGGAAGTGGCACTGACGTTTTCTAAAACTAAAATAATAATGTCGCTAAGCACGAAGAGACGTATGGCTTTTTAATTTGGTAACTTGTAACTTCCCAACAATAATTTCAGATCGAAAGTACTTTCGATTATTTAGTTATCAACGCATCTACCATGTAAAACATTTAGAAGCAAATTTTAACTGCAAACAATAAAACGTTTGGTGTTTAAATTTGCTAGAAAAAAGTAACGAGAAACTGTTTAAAGAAATGATATAAAATATGTTTTCGATGCCACATTAACTCAGCACGAGTTATTTCGTAGCAAATGTGCGACATTTTAATAATGTGATAAATATATTTGAGTTAAATATAATCACTACCACACATAATTCGAATTCTTATTAAATTTATATCTTAGAATATCTTCTGAAATCCTTGACTCAATTTTACTTTTCTCGCTTAGTACATTTCCACCGTTTATTTTCAGTTATAGATTTTTCATGTTTTAGCTAAAATTTGGAACCGAAAAGGCTCACTGATTACTCGTAATTGACTTTAAACAATATTTATTCCAGTTCTATTATTTTTGACTGAAAATACAAACTTATTACCATGGAATGCTCTTAGTCAGGCTAAAGATCACGCTTTCCCTTAAAGAGGTAAGATGAGATTATCCCTTCCACAATATTATTTACCATCACACCAATATTTTAATAAGATGGTACTTTTTTTGTTAATATATTTCAACAAATATAATTGAAAATGCAATTATCATCAGAACCGTAATATAAAATTGTTAATCTTTAATGGAACACATCAAGAATGGCGTAATATGTGACCTCAATTTTATTAATGTAAATTTACTGAACACGCCCATACAAGGACTGGCCACGGGCAAACCAAGTCGATACAATGAACAATGTAATAAATAGAGACGACCGGACCGGCCGGCAAATGGGTTCGGTATAAATTGACAGCTAGCACAAATACGCCGTCATCAGAACTCAAACACAACCAATTACTTCTAGTTGAGCGGTCACTGGGTTCAATTGCTAAATCATTTTTGATGATAACTTTGCAAAATTGGCACTGACGCTCTCCTCTTTGTACCTAAGTGCTTCACCGTTTATATACAGTGTTATCACATATGAAGTGTGTTAAATAGTTGGATTCGCGTGTTGTATTAAGCATACTCGTAGTATACCGTAGAAATCTGTAACCTCTGCCTACCCCTTTTATGTTTACAAAATGCGTTCGTATTTGCTAATTGCATGAAAGAGAACTCTGTTTGTTTGTAGTGATACAGCTTATTATCCATCAACAAACAAGAATATCAGTTTATAATACAAGTGAACATAAATGTCAGCAGCGGTTAGATATCACCAGCTAATGGCTGCATCTATTTTTAATCTACTTACATACTACCTATAGCCTGAGATAAAATTAAACGTTGTTGTTATATCTTATCTCAGATGTAGTAACATAATCTCTGTGTCGTTTGTGACGATTTTTTGTTATTTTTATCGACAAACGTGCCTGTTGCACGTTACAAGCTATTTTTTCCAAAAACCTGATATAAATCGGTTACGATGATTTATATATCTGTTATATTTTGTCCCATTACTCTTGAGTGTAATATTGTAGGACTTCGTGTTTGAGTTGAGCTCTGTGTTTGCAAACATTCAACAAGTAACCAATACTCTAAAATCGATATTGGTCTTTAAGATTATGTAGACGTGATTAGATTGTTTCATTTACTTAATGTCTAATCTATCATGTTTTGTTTAATATTTCATTAAAACCTAGGATATATTATATATCTGTTATTGCTAACCTACGTAGTACACGAATGTTACTGTTCAATAGTATATAAAGTCGCAATTATGATGATAAAATCGTGATTGACATATAATGATATAAAAAGATATTACGTCAATATATCTGCTAGAATCTACCATACAACTCACTAGAGAAGAGAACACGTTCACGAAATCACATAACTGTGATAGGCATGTATATTTTCACAGAGCGGTGCTAATATGTAACAATGTTCCAGTAACACACTGTACTAGATAATGTGCCATTGAAAGAAGCAAAGAGTCGGGGGCCAAGGCAGAGGGGCTCAGGTTAGAGAGGCAGAGCAGTGCATCACTCGCGCGTACTCAAGATGCGCGGTAGGCGCGCGGCGGAGCGGCCCTGGACGTCGCGTCTCGCGGCGGGCGGACCGCGACTGTCCGCTCTGCGCTGCAGCCTGCCGCGCCGCCCGCCGCGACGCCGCCGCCGCCGCCGCGAGCGAGACGAACATACAATCCACTCTGCGCATCACCTACGATTCTAGCCCTTGAACCTTCCCTCTTAATTCCCATTTACCTTGCCCGAAGCCGGTCCCTTATGTTTTTGTGCGACCGCTAAAGGGTTTTCACCCCGCGTAGCGTTCATTCCCATGGACGTTACGTAGTCAGGGATGCTGTGTTTTCTTACCGGCCTGCCTACTGTTAGATCACTATTGTACGTGTTTCTATCTTTTTTATCTAGACTGAATCTTTTATAGTTTATTATTGTATTATCTCTACAACATATTCCTTATATTCTACAGTGATTAAAAGTAATAGCGAAATGTTATCTTTAAAAAGAAAATTCTGTTGTCACTAACAAGAATCTCCTCAATAATATTCAGATGATAAACAGACTTAAAATGAATAATGTCTTAAATATAAAATAAGATTATTTCAGTCTAGTCAAGAAAATTATTTATTCTACTATATGTATATCTAAATAAATAAAAAATAGTCAACGATTACTTACATATTCATAGAATCCCGGAAAAATTAGCGCTAAGACTTCCGTTATTATTGGTGAATTTTGACGTAACACCGTGAACATGTAAATATAGTCTACGTCTTAGTTTACACAAACATGCATGGTAATTGTTAAGAGGATGTTAATTGAAAAGTCAATCTGGCCTTTCAAATTTCTGTTTGAACACGAGAATAGGAAGTCATATTACTTTAGTGTTACAATTCTAATTTACGGAAATGTAACATATTTTTATCAAACTAAGTTCCTAATACAGTAGTAGTAATTGTAACTATTTTTTATTAAGTATTTAAAACTCGCTAGTTATTTAGGATGAGAAAATAAATGTAATTAGAGGAAAATGTCTTATTTCAAGAGATTTCTCAGACCAACAATCGAAAGTGTACAAACCTTCGCGATGTTTCTATTAAAATAAAAAAAGGAATATAAAATAATAGCGGTACTGGTTAAACATTGCCAATTTCATAATTTCGTAAACACATCAATTTGTTGCAAATTGTTAAAGTAACTAGAACTTTATGAAGCTATATTTTAGCAGAACATTGTCAATTCGATTGTCGACCATTTTCTCTGTTCTATTTGACATTTGCAAATTTATCAATAAACCCGGATGCTACGGATAAATATCGGTAGATAGCAGCACCGTAGCCATATAACATTGTTCAAGTCTTTGCACGTTACGTCTTTTTGTCTGATATTAATATCTTATTTATTGGCTTGTATTGCACGGTTACATGTTGCTGATAGAACACAACTTGCAGACACGTCAAGGTGGCTACAGCGGGCAATGTATCAAAGGCAACGCTCCGAGGTGTGGTACTTATCGTAGCGTCAATTTGCAAGACAAATCTATCACTATTTATAACTCTATGTCCGACGATTTGCAAACAAAATGTTTTAGGATAAATTTTAATATAAAAACATTTAGGATTAGAGAATAATGAAAATAAGTATTAATCGACAAAGAGCTCGTTTGAAATTGTACGCTCTTCGTGAAGTGACGTAATTTTAAGGTAAGATAATGTCTTAATTATCAGACTAATAAGTTACGCATTTCTAAATTAAACCTAGCTGCGTCATCCATATTGAGATGAATGAGAACGCCTCCCGACAGAGATACGTCGTCATTTACTTAAGCACTTAAAAGATGAAATATTTATGAAAACCTTTCGGAGATAAATATAAGTATCCTTGAAGTTAAAAACCGATAGTTTCGTTGTTTGTTAATCATTTATAATAATGTAGATTGTAAGTAAATCCAGGCGTAGACGTATTATATGATGCAAGACGTAGATTAAAAACATTTATAAACATGAGGCATAAAATTGGTAATCGATATAAAAAAATATTTTTTATATCTCGATCGCCAAGGTTAATACACTGAGAGCGGCTGCCAGTTTTATTATACAATATAGAGATTTTATATAAGTCATCACGTGAAACATTCATTCGCAAAATAACTTACGCGCGCTACGTGCTTTAATATGCTTTTTCCTCTTTTCTTTTAAGGTTCCTTTGCCAGAGTAACACTTAATACTCATATATGTTTTAGTATCTTTAAATAAAACCAATATGTTAATATTTATATTAATGACAGATAATCATCTTCATATTAAGATGGCTTATTTTATTTCTAAAATCTATTAAAAGAGTCCTTCATTAAAATGTGCTTACGTTATAATTAAATGCTTCTCATAATTAACACGACTCTTATTAAAATTTATAAAATACAGGTTCCGTTTGTCTTGAGAGTAATGTCAAAAATGATAAATAATAAAGCGGTAAAATCAATATGAAATCAGCTCTTCTGCTAAGTAGCTCCTTAACACTAAAATATAAAACATCGCTTTTTATCCTATGAAAGCTGTAGATAACTGGAAATAATTAACAACGCTGGAAAGCAACATTTGTGTAACAAAAAGTTTACTTTGGCAATGGTGCGTGGCGCAAGCGTCACACCTGTGCGTCCTGACACGAATAAATAACGCTCGACTATGTTTTATGTTATGACTATGTTTATTTTCGAGATCCGGCAAACGTTATTATTGTCTGGCTGGCATCACGCTGAAATGTAATTTGCAATTTGTTTCATTGTCATTATCGGTCGACCATAATGTATCGCACTCGCGATCTCATAGAGTTGTTAGATAACTGCAACGCGCGTTTCCTGTTTAGAACTTCAACATACAGCTTAAGCAAAAAAACATTGATTTTATTACGATGTATCTATTAATGACATTAAATAATCTCTTTCATCCAAATAAGTAACAAAATGACATATATGTGTTTCTGTATTTGCTCATGTTTTTAAAAATACATGGAGTTAAATACCTGGAGTCGACAGTATTCCTCCGTAAGTCATATGTTTGTTACACGAAGTATAAAATTAGTAACACGTACCTGAAACAAAAGCAAATAAAAATAGTTAGGTATAATATTACAATATTAAAACAATCATAAGATTTAAAAATTTGTTAAGCAACAAATATGTTCTAATTTTGCTGAGATTCCATATTATGTAGACTTACGAATAAAATGTAATATATGACCTCTGACATTCAATGATTACCAACAAATTAGGTAAATAAATTTAAGTAATGTTCGAATCATAAGTATAGTTCGGTAATTTTCTTTAACATTTGACATTATCTTCCGTTATCATTGAATTGTAAGCATTAGTTTGTTGTTGAAATATTCAAGGCTATTATATCAATACCGAAGTAAATAATGAACCAGAATTTTGATCCAATCCGAAGCGCAAACACATTGAAGGAAGATTTAAGTCGCGTCGTTCGAACGCATTGTTCGCGACAATGCAGGGATCATGATGAAAATGGCGTTTGAAGCTCTAAGGATAACTAACCTAGCCCACTAACGCTACGAGCGACGCTCCTCAAGGAAGCGATATGAAATTCAAGTGCTCTATGACTTTGTTCATAACCTCTCCTCTATGTTATATCCGTTGGCATTGTTGACGCTATGGTTCAAGAACACAAATTAATCTGTTGAAATACGTATATTTTGTAGGTGTTTATATGTGAATTGATTATTCATACGTTGCATTTACTATTAAATAGTAACAACATACATGTTTTTGTTTCACAAAGTTGTATAAATTGGGGAAATGGTTGTGAAACAAATAAATCGCGTTCGTTCTTACCGGTGGGCAGGAAACGGCGCCGGGTGTGCCGCGCTACAATTACTAACGCTTTGTTATACAAAATATTGTTTCTTTGTTACAGTATTTTATTGCACGACAGCATCTGGATCAAATATTATAGGATTATTTTATGGATATACAATTAGACATTTGTTAATACTTTTAGTTGAAAGGAGCCTACCAGCAAGCCATCCATCTAGCCTGACCGCTGCATTTTCATATTTATGACTATGAGAATAAAGTGTAGTAGTTTTAGACGATTTAACATTTGAGTGGGAAAAGATCCTTTGGCTACAAACTACAACACCGGTGTCGAAGTAAATATTCAAGTAAGTATACATAAGAGAGATCTTTCGACAATAACACCCCAATACTGAAACTACGATTTAGTTATGCAAAGTTAATTGATAAGGCCACGCTTAACCTCCATATTTTATTACGTCTATTATAAAATTAATAAGTAACAGCTGCTTCTACATTCATTGTGATGTAATATCGATGATGCAGTACTCCACGGAATCCTAGTTACGGGTATAATGGGACGAGTAAATTGTCCGGAGCTGTATTCTGCGCTATTTGGTTCTTCCATTGTGCGCGCTATTTCGAACTCGTGTTGGCTTTTGTTAAAGGTGCGTTGACACGCTTGTTCAATGGATAGTAAAAAAAATACAATGCCTACAACAAGTGTACTATTGTAATCGGTGTAAAAATGCTCATTTGGAATCGATTCTAAGTTCTATGGTTATACTTTGTAACCTGAATAAATTTATAAACTATTTCTTTGTAGTACATGTAGCATTAAATGTAACTGTTCATTTCATCTTTTTGTATTTTTGCAACATTTCAAACTTTCCGAAATAAAAAAACTCGTAAAGCGCTCAAACGATTGACATTTTGTGTTTGCAATATAAAAGCGACATGGGATACACGTCGATCAGCAAAGCTTCGTCAAAGGGATTTGCGGGTTGCACTTTTAATCGAGATTGATGTCATTTTACACGAACATCGGCCGTTAATGTATTGGAGACTCGTTTTGTACACTTTTTGTCATTAACACACAATGTTACGGTAAATTAGTAACCTAAAGGGTAAAAACATTAATGGATTTCCGCGAAATACATTTTTTTATCAATCATTTTAAACGCTTAATTTTTCTTTATAATTTCTTTCGCATTTTTGGTGTAATTTAATGAAGATTGGATTAAATATTTTGAAAGTTTTCTACTAACATATACTT